TATTACCTGATTAGCATATATACAGGTATGTGCGACTTAACAATGGGGGTAAATTCTGAGAAATATGTTGTTAAGGGAGTTTGTCATTATGTGAAGGTTACAGAGTGTACTGTACTTGGTCAAATTTTATGTGATATAGTATATTACTCATATAAGCTTTATGTAACACCATGATGCGGCCTATATGAGTGTATAGGCTGCATGCATGTATAAGTCACACCCTGTTTCTGAAATGATATACTTGGAAACAAATAAAAATCTCAAAATTCTGCCAAGGGATAAGAGTAGAAATGCGGGTATACAGAAATATGGCATTAATGCGAATTCCAAACAAAGAGATAAAGTGATAGTTAATGTTTATTGTTGAGTGTCTGCTCAGTGTATGTTATACATGGGTCAAGTGAGAGTGAGTTATACAACAAAATTTAAATTGCAAGTGGTGCATTATGCACAAGAAAATGGAAATCAAGAAGCAGAAAGAACATTTGATGTACACAAAAAAAAAAAAAATGTGGCAATGAATTCAAACAAAGGACACTTGAGAAAATATCACAAAATCAGCAATTGTTTTGCAAAAAGACTGAAAAATATCCCAACCTGAAAGCAAATCTGTTGAGAAATATTTGTTAAATTTGGACAAAATGGATTTTCTGTGTCTGTTGAAATAATTCAGAAACCCAAAGAATTATTCAAAATATGAAAATTTCCAAAAATAAATTTAAAGGAAGTTACAGCTGGGCAAGATGTTTTGTGGCATGACAGCTCATGATTTGGCATTGAACTTCAATGGAGCAGTAGTTTCTTGATACCTACCTAATTTTAAAAATTATTCATTATCTTGAGTATAGGCCACACCCTAATTTTGGTAAAAAAAAGTTTAGAGTAAAATAAGGCTACCTATATGCATGTAAATATGGTAAATATTTATGTATATAAACATAGATAAGGGACTAGCAACTAAAAATTTTTCAACTCCATTATAATGTGAGATCTGAATAGGCCCTGGGTCTAAATTAATAATTTCAGAATAATATTAAATTTTTGTTATAAAATATTCTTTCGTTTGGGTGAGAAAAATAACGTTTTAGCGTGGGAAAGATAGATAACAGATGCTACTTCCTTCTAGGGAAGTTAGAACATCCTCTGTTTTTCCATTATCTGCTAAAAATCTCGTCTCGATGGGAAATGTTTACCCCTCAAATATTCCCCTTTCCTTAAGGGGAATATTTGAGGGGTTCCCACGGAAGAATCTTTGCATGATGATTGGTCGCCGATCGTCAGATATAGAGGAAATTTATCAGAATTCGGGGAGTTCATCGACAGACATAGAAGAGTCAGGACTCCATTCATATTACTCCTAAANGACAACTGTTACAATTATTTTTAATATATATTTTTTTAAATCATAAATGCTGCTTTTATTTATAACAATATGATATTCCCAAAATCAGTCTTTACCCTCAAAATGATATAAATAAGTAATGTGCCATAGGCAATTGTACAGAGAAGTTCATAGACAAAGCATTAAGGGTGAGTGTATAGTGCATTGGCTATATGATATATCAGTTTGAGTTTCCAATACTGTCAAACAGAATTTAATTGCACAAAATTCATGTGTGACTGAATCACTTTCAACTAATGTAGGCCCAGCTGCACAGTTACATAACTAACTGGTATATTATCAGGATTGAATTTGTTTTTTTTTTTATATTCAATATGCAGATTATATCAAGAACATGACATATTACTGGTTTCTTTATTGCTATTTTTAGTTTTATTTAAATAAAATTAAACATAACATTATTTAATTTGTGTATTAAATAAAACAAGTTCAATCCTCCCAACATACTAGTTGTGAATTACAAAACTATGCAGCTGGGCTACATTAGTTGAAAGTGATTCACCCACATCCATGGGAATTCACAAAGGGGGAGGCAAACAGGGCACTGTCCCCAAGATCAAGTAAAAAATCCACAAATTATAATTGCAAAAATGATCGAGATATGTAACATTATACCCTTGACCATGGAATGCTTTGATGCATTACTGTATTCTATAATCTACTTGTGGAAAAAACTTCCCCAAAAACGGGTTAAATAATTAATTACATCAATAAGTTTTTTTATTTGTCCTCAAGCTTTGCCTCCTGGAAAATTTTCCATACATATGCCCATGATCACATACATGACTTTTGTGCAGTTAATTTCCATTTGAAAGTATTGCAGACCCAAAATGATGCATCATATAATCAGTACATTATATATTTGCTCTTGACGCTTTGTCTTCAAGTTTCTCCGCACAATCTCCTATGGTGTGTTACTTTTGAACTCTTTAAAATATTTAAATAAATATAATTATTTTCTATACTTTTATGTTAAATTTACAGAACTTATCTTCAAAAATTTTGTATTTTGTGCATATAACATAACATCTCTGAATCTGAAGCAAGAACACCATTTACTTTGTGTGTTCCCATTTAACAGGTGGCATAAATTTTACAGAATAATGCATCTTGTCTATTGGAATTTTTAAATTTGAAAAATTTTTAAAGAATTATTTTTGACAATGAAAATATTTGGGCTAGTCAGTTAAAAACAAACCAGATGTCATAAAATCACAAATATTTTAATTACCTTAAAGATAAATGCTTGAATAATTTGAGAACTATCTCACTATGATATGAGGCAATCAATAGCTTTCTAATAGAATTCGTTCAACTGTTCCTTAGAATAATTTTTGAATCCTATCTTTAACTTCTTTGTCCAATTCAAATTGAATGCCTTGTAACACTAATTTGAAATCCCAAAAAATGATGAAGTCACAAGGTGATAAATCAGAACTGTAAGAGAGAAGGTAATTAAAGACTTTCCATCTGAATTACTCCAATTTCTCTCTGATTCTGTTAGTAATGTGGGAATGAGCATTATCATGGAGAAGGATGACCCCTGGACTGCTTTGCAGTAAGTTTTATTCATTATAATGTTTTACATCAAGTGATGTTCCAAAGAACAAGACACTCAAACTCCACTCAAACAAAATCCACATTAAAATTAACAAGCAAGTATAAAAGTAAATAAAAAAATTTNAGAAATGTAGTTCGCGATCCACTGGTTAAAAAAAAAAAAACACTTGAATATCTGATAACATCCTTAAATAATCTAGAAAGCAAATATTTTAATTACCTTAAAGATAAATGCTTGAATAATTTGAGAACTATCTCACTATGATATGAGGCAATCAATAGCTTTCTCATAGAATTCCTTCAACTGTTCCTTAGAATAATTTTTGAATCCTATCTTTAACTTCTTTGTCCAATTCAAATTGAATACCTTGTAACACTAATTTGAAATCCCAAAAAATGGTGAAGTCACAAGGTGATAAATCAGGACTGTAAGAGAGAAGGTAATTAAAGACTTTCCATCTGAATTACTCCAATTTCTCTCTGATTCTGTTAGTAATGTGGGAGTGAGCATTATCATAGAGAAGGATGACCCCTGGACTGCTTTGCAATAAGTTTTATTCATTATAATGTTTTACATCAAGTGATGTTCCAAAGAACAAGACACTCAAACTCCACTCAAACAAAATCCACATTAAAATTAACAAGCAAGTATAAAAGTAAATAAAAAAATTTAAACAGTAAAAATATATAAATACATTTTACAACATGTACAATTTTCTATTTATAAAGTTTCTAAAGGCAGTAAACTAAATGAGGAGTATCTCCAAGTTTGCTAAATGAATGAATGACCATTTTGTGGGATGTAATCTTTAGCTTTGAATATGTATGCATGACTTATGGAGGTTGCACTGAGGAATCTGAAGATAACTCTAATAGGCAATAACATCCCATTACAGAATTTATAGAAAGCTGCTGTACAAATATATTTATTTGCATTAGAAAAATTGTACATTCCTACTTTAGAACAAGCTACCTTGGGAGTTACTATAGGATAAATTGGATAGTTTATTAAATAAAAAATAGATCTTAAGTAGTTTGTTTACAATTTGATGGAGTTGTGATGGAGCTGCAACATGCCAGATTGGTAAACAATAATTTATTAAAGGTTGAAACTAAGTGAAAAAAGTGAATAAAAGACATTTTTTGATGAGAACTTACAAAATTGTCACATTATTCCACATCAGATGGATAAGGCTTATATTATATTTTTAATGTGATGCTTAAAAGTAAGTTTGTTGTGGAAAATAATGTCCAGATCATTTACTAAATCAATGAGGAGATTATGAATGTTGTCTGAATTAATTGTAGGTTGCTGAAATATATGGATTAGAGAAAAACACATAATGGAAGATTTATTATGGTTAATGCATGGGTTGTAGAAAAAACAGGATAGGTTAAATCTGATTGCAGTGTTATAGGGTTGTTATTAATTAATTTTATGTCATCAGCATATGCTATTGCAGTTGATGTGATATTATAAAAAATGCCAATAGATATAAGCTGAAAAAAAAAGAATGCTGAGAACAGAATCTTGTTGGATGCTGCAGAGGGGTGAGAAGTTTGAAAATATATAATTATTGACTTTGAATTTGAAAGTACAAGTATTATATGTACTCTACAAGTATATAATTATTAAGCAAAGCTTTAAAAACAATGTTAATGTCAAAATTGTTTTGCAAGGTATGGTACTATCAGAAGATTTTGTAGAGGTCTATGTATAAAACAAAAAGACAATATCCTTTAAGGATTATGGTTTGTGTAGCAATCAGATTGATGACTGAGGAATGATTAGGAATACCACAGTTTTGTGGAGGATGCAGTTTTGCACAGACAGAAAGATAAATATAGAGATAAATACAAAGTTCAAAAATTTTCAGGCTTTTAAAAACAATGACCACCATTGAAGGAAATATACAGTAACTAGCAGGTGGGCCTGGCGTTGCTCGGGCAAAAGTAACGATAACTAAGATAAAGATTATTACGTTACAGTCAACCTTACCCGTTTTCACAGAATGCAAGAATTGGGTCCNAAATGTATCAAGTTAAGTTGATCTCTCCAGAGGAAAGAAGACAGAGAATTCTAGAAGTGAAACAAATACTTCATATACAGAGCCGAAGTTTAAAGACAACAATCAGGTTGTATGTTCTTAAATGATTTTGTGAGCTCTCTCTCTCAACCTTATATCGGTTATAGTATAAGTCCGTATCTCTCTCGACTTATAGATCGAAATTCGCATTTACTATCTCTCATTTATATAATAGTTTGTATTAGTTTTAATTGTTTATGGTTTATTAAATTTATTCTTATTTATTTTATAAAGAAATGTCTCTCAATTATTATCGGAATAGGATTTCCCCACGTGTGTTTATCCGCGTGTAAAACAACTGATAAACTGGTGTCGGAATCCTGACGTAGATCCGAATCTCGCGATTAGGATCGTTTATAAAAGCCCTCCTATAAAAAGTTACAAGAGCCGATCTCACGATCGAGCACCCGTAAGTGGCGTAACTTTGTTTATGTCCTGGCTGATCTCACAATAATCTTATGGGACCTCCATTGAGGTTCATTGTTAAGTGGCAAATACCTGTAACTTAAATTATTCACTTTTTATTATATGTAAAAAGTAATTAAGAAAAAATACATATCTTCTTACATAATTATTTAAGTTTAATAAGACATGTTTATATTCATGACCTAAGATATATACAAAATATAAATAGATCTGTACAGATATAATATTTACAGTTCAACCTCTTTCACATATCACATCAACCACCTAAAATAGAAAAGTAAATAAATAATTAATTTTTGTCAAAAGTTTCATTATAATATAGTATTTTTTAATACTTACACTTGGCTCCATCATAAGTGGATCCAAACATCTATGAATTGCACTTCCAACAACTTCATCTAATAAAACATGTACCAAGCTAAAAATAAAACATTTAAAGTTAAATCCTAAATTTCAAAACATTCTATTAAATGATATATTAAATTGTTTCTCAAATTTATTTATTTGAAAAATATTTATATTATGTAAATTAAAATTATCAAAATAAGTAAGCATTATATATAAATCAATATCGATTTCTCTAGTTGACTGATTAACTCACTGACATAGTAGCTTTTACTCAAAAATTTCATCTTATAGAAAATCAAACTGGGATATTTGAAAGTAGATACCAAGTACTGTACATTATCAGAAAAAAATATTTTTGTTCTACAGGTCATCAAAATTTAAACCTCAGACTATCATGACATGTTTATAATTGTTATTTTTGCTCAAATTATTTTAAATTCTAATTTCCTTTTATTTTACTACTGATTATATTTATTAATACTCTGATATTATTTACAATTATTTCATCTATATATATATAAAATTAATATCAATACAAAGAATTGTAAATTACAACAAAAATGTAGAAGCTGTTGTGATAGCCTGTGCACAGTAGTTTTAAAAGGGTGAGATTAAAAAAACAATATGAAAAAATAAAATACTTTATTGTTTTACAACGTAATTTTACAGAGTAACACAATACACGAGATTAAAGAGAAACTAAATGGAAACAAAATGTTATATACAATATACTGTTTAATTTTTTAATTCTTTCCAAATGGGAGGGGTTTAAACCCCTATAGCCCTTCCTAGTGCATGGCCTTGAGCTATGTAATGCTAGGATTAGACCAAGAAGAAGGCCAGTGACAGACCTCATCTTTAATCCTGTATTATGTTTTAAATTTATTATAATACAGTAACAAAAATAAATTTATAGAAATAATCTAAGTATCATCATGAAACCAATCAAAAATCTTCCATTTTAAACAATATAATATAATATTTAAGTACTTGATATTCCTGAAAAAATAATTTATTATTAACATTGAAGAGAAATTACATATAACAAGCATTTATCGTGACATTGTCACAATGCTGGGCTGCTATTTTTAATTTATTTCATTTAAAATATATGCTCTCCACCTCAAATTAATTATGTAGTGTCTTGCCTCTGTACATCATACTTTTCTTTAACAATAGAGTCGTACCAGTCATCTACTAACTGCTTTCAGGGGAAAATTTTTGAATTGAAATAACATGACTTCTGATTTGCATCAGAAGTTCATATATCAGTGTAAGGTTTCCACATCTGGTCTTGTCTTTCACCTATCTAACTCTGTTCTCAAGATTAAGGAAAGACAGTGGTAATTTATGTCTATAATTTTTTCACATTACAGTGCAATAAAATATTATTTATAAAATTTGCTTGATGTGATTACTATTTTATCAAATGAATGTCTCAGACAATAAACTGAAATTTTTTTTATATATTAAAATATTGAAGATGTAGTAATATTGTATTTGAATATTTGCAAAACAAGATTATATTTTTGATAAGAACTGCTGTCAACACTGTCTTTCAATGTTAAATTATTTTAATACTAAAGAAAAATGAAAATAGCAAAATAAAATTTTTTAGCAAGTACTTTTTGATATATCAACTTGATCATCAGAAAAACAAACCTTTTAAATGCTTTGTTTGATTGCCTAATGTATATGAAGTTTTATGAAAAGTACTTCCAAAAAGAAAATTTGTTTTGCAATTTTTATTTTTCTTTGATATTAAAATAATTTAATATCAGTATTATATTAAAGTTAAGTGTCTCCTTAACTCAATGGTCTTCAACTATTCATGGTGCATTTGAACAATCAGATAAAGGTTGAAACATACATTATTATTAAATACTACAGACCTAGCCAAAAGGTCAATCATGAGCCTTTTTTTAAAACCTTCTCTGCAAAAGCTGGTACACGTTTGAAATATAATTGATAATGCAATATTTGTCATTTTAATTTTAAAAAATTAATCTTGCAGCAAGAGCTTCATAACTAATCTTTAGTATATTATTATTATTAATACCACCACTTAAAATTGGTTATACTTGAATTAAAAACTGTAAAACCTATAATCCAGCAATTTTTTTTAATATGTGCAATAATATAGCTATTAATTTTTGCAATGTTGACTCCTTCCCCATAGCATGGAAGTCTTTGTTCAAACTATAAATCTTACTATCCCCCCTTTCTCTTGTCTTACATCACCTCCCCTCTGCACATGTGTATGGCAATCCCATTGTTTCAGCAGCTGGGGATTAGTTTGCCTGATGATGCCTGTTCAACAATAGCAAAAATGTTTGCATGCATCAAAAAAATTGCTGGATTATAGGTTTTTAGAATTTTTAATTATTATTAATCTAAATCAATTAGCAAATTAGCAATAATCCATAAAAAACATTTTATTTTTTTAATTTGATAAATATATAATAATTTAATAAATTGTGTTATTTAAGTTATAATTTAAATATTTTGTCTCTGAATTAATGCAAACAGAAAATAACACAGCATTCTTGGTTCAAATTCAATTAGTTACATTAAATGAAGTATTTATTGTTTTAATTTATCTAACTATTTCTTGGTACTTACTTGCGGGACTATATTATATTTAATTAAAAAGATGATGAAGTGAAGTGTTAAATTCTGAACTGTAATTTAACTTAGTGCATTTTCATTTTTGATTTTTAAGTTAATCCAGTTTTATTTTTATAAAACTTTTTATTTATTTACTAGCTGCAAGTACCTGCTTTGCTGGGTTTTTATTTGTTCGTACATTTATATATAATATAGCTGTTTTTTTTACATAAAAGACTGTTTACTTCCTCTACATAATCTTTCTCTGATTCAATGTGTTTCCCTATAATTTTGAAGTTGCTTTTCTGTTTGGTTATTTCTGTTTTGATATGATTCGAGACTGCAAAAATTCTATCTTACACTTTGGCATTGTTTTTTATATTTTTACTTTTCACACTTCACTATTCACTTTTCACTTTCTACCTTTTTCTGTTATTCATACACTTTTACTAATGAAAATTCAACTAAAGCATGTGCATCACATGTCTCCAAAAGCCATACCCACTACTCACACATAACAGTCCTTGACTAAACCAAAACATTTTCGACTATTCAAAAACATTTAAGATTAAGATCACATTATAGCCAATCTTACACATTTTCACAGAATGCAAGAATTAGGTCCCCTGTTTCCAAACTAATTAGAGAATTTTTACATGCGTCTAAAAATATGTTTGATTTCTTGCAAAAATGCAAAAAACCGCATCTGCTCCTGTAAATCTTGCACGCTGCTTTCTCTTAACACTTCCATTGTTACACATTTTAGAAGTCAATCACTTTCAACCCCATATCTCCCACACCCTTATAGCTATTGAGACGCAACCACCATAGTGCACGATGGAAAACTTGGGGCTACTACCACACACAAACACCATTCATGTGTAATGTGTAGTTTTGGCTGCAGAGTGAAATATAGGAACAAACACGTCCATTTATATATATATATATATATATAGATTTGTTAACAATAATGTAAATCAATAAAAATGCCAATTAATTATTGTATGTTCCAAGCATCTTAATTTTAAAATATCTTGCCATATAATTGTTATATAATATTTAAATATCTATAAGGTCTATTATTAGAAACATAATATACTATACATTTATTTAACTTATATATCAATACATTATGTTTTCTCACATAACTTTTAAACATTTTTTGAAAATACTAAGCTTCATTCTAAAATAATATGTGGAATATGATGATAAAATTAAACTAAACAAATTTATAATAATCCATTTTTAACCTTTGAAATTTTCTTAATCAAATTACAGTTTCAAATTAAAAAGTCAATTCTCATAATTTGTTTAATAAGGTTATAAAAACTTCATTGTAAAGCAATTATAAAAACAAAAATATAATTCATTACTCACTCAGAACACTTTTTTTCCAGAGTTTACATCTTTATTATCCTAGTGCTTCCCACTTCATAAACAGTCAAAATAAAAAAAAAGTTAAAAAACACACCTTCAAGAATAATAATATAATGTATCCTTTTAAAATATACTATTACCTTGAAAAGAAGATGTGTTAAATATGTGTTAAATAGATATATTGTTATTTTTGGAATGATAAGATACTCTTGAAGGTGCAATTTTTAAATGTGATTTTTTTGTTATTTTGACTGTCAATATCCGTGAAGATGTGTTGTAAGAATTGAATAACATATAGGAATAATAGATATGAACTCTGGAAAAGCATTATTTTTAGTGAAGAGGGTAATGTGGAAATTCTTTTGTGAGTTAAATTATTCATTACTTTTGCTTGATATCTGTCATTTATACCATTAAATACATGGAAATACAAAGATCTGTTTCCACTTGCAGGAAAGTACTAAGAAAAAGAAATGCATAAACGATTCCTGTTTTTGTAGTACACAGTCAAAAAATTATTATGAGAAATGTTAAAATTTTTGTGTTGTTATATATAGAAACAAAAAATCGATAATAATCAACAGAACATGAAAATTCTATTGATTAATTATCTTCCATATTAATGTTAATATGGCAGGCAGAAATAAATCATATAAAACATTGAATGCTTACAATAAAATATAAACATGTTGGATTAGAAAACTTCAGATACCAGTAATATTTAACTTTTAAAAAATGCATAAAATGGAAGAAATCAAGTGAGATATTATGACTACTGCTCTTCTTGGAGTTATGATGTCTGTAGTGATATTGGGCCTACTCTCCCCCGAGTGCGGTCTTGTCAGCCCACATCCAATCTCTTTACAAGTAGCCGTAAAAGTAATAAACAAAGGGTTGTAAAAAGTATGGAGAAGAATAGCCTAAAAGACTTTTAGCTAAAAACTGTATTAAGAAGTTATCTACAGTATAATCTATGTTATATATATGATACTCAATGATATATGATGGATTTATATTTATATGTTCTTTTATTTATTGTATGTGTTTGGCTTCTAAGAATGTTAAAGTTTGAATTTAAAAAAATGAAAAAATGTTTTAAATTTCGAATGCTATAACAAAGAACAAAATTCATTTTTGATACTATTAAAGATGTTTTGAATTTTTCTTGTTTGAAGATGATTCTAGATGACTTGTAGTGATATTGGGTTCTCTACATTGCCATTATAATCAACAATAGATATTATTGGAATTTTTATTTTCCACAAATTACACATTCTACATTTCCAGAAAATGGGGCAGACATGTAAACAAAATTTTTCTTTACTTATTTATTGCATACACAAAAGGAAATGTCATAAGACAATTGATATCCCCCAAAAAATGCCCATAACAAAAGATTAAAATACAAATAAAAAAATCACTAAACAGCTTCAATAAACAAATTATCATAGAATTTTTAAATTCACCTAAGCTTCCATTTAATCCCAGAAATTTCCACGTACTTCTGTTAGTAGCATTTCATTAATTAATTAATAGTGGGGTGCAGATGTCTTTTGCAAGCAAAATCTTTTGATTTGTAAACTTTGTCATCTCTGGGAATCATTTTCCACCACTTCAGTAAGAATCTTTAAGTCCTTTAAAATAAATTTATATTTTCTGAACATGTGGCATATCTGGCATTGCATCCAGTCACAAAACATGTTTTGCCCATAGTTAAACAGCACATTTTGAACTAATTTACTGAGAAAGGCACTTTACCACTAACAAATGAAGCAAATATTGGTACTCAATACTTTTTGTAAGTAGTCATAAATCATAAATAAATGAAACAACTATATTTTTCAAATGTATGAATGTAATAGAGCATACAGTTACATGTGAAAATTCCCAACTACAATGTGCCTTCTGATAGATAAGTTTGGACGGTTTTGAAACAGAGCTATCTCACCTTTCTTTCTTACATTGTAGTATAAATACTTACATGTTATAAAGTGCTTTCAGTAAATGGTCAAAATCAAATAAAAATTATGCCTTCTTTCGGTCTGTTATGTGACAGTTATCAATTTTTTTAATGTGTTTATTAAATGTTAAAATATTCCTGAATTCTTTATTATATTTGTATGTATTTTATTCTGTCATTACAATTTGTAATTAATATAATAAATTTATCCTTTTCCCTCAAAATCATTGATGTTAGTCAATAATTNCTCCGTAGCGTGGCGCAGGGTCGGAGGAAAGTAGTTCGGCTGCTCATCCACTATTGGTCCAGACTCTATCAATCTTGTCGCGAAACGACGTTATAGGAGGTACGTTATACGAAAGTTGCTACAATTTTTTCGCTACGTTATAGGAATTGTCGTTATAGGAACGTACGTTATAGGGGGGTCGACTGTATATATATATTAAATATTTAAGTATTAAGTACATATACATACACATATATACTTAAATAAAAACAAAAAATTATGTATTACAAAGTAACCATTTACAAATGTGTTTAAAATGTAGAAAATTTTTGTGTATAGATTGTTCCACACAGCCCATATTCTGAATAGATTAATAGAAAAAGGATCTGAAAGAAATGGAAAGTCTAAAAGATGGAATAAAAAAGAAACAAGTTTAGTTACAAGTAACACATGATGGAACTCTCAGGTACAGCCAATCAGAACAAATGGAACCATGGAAGTATTTATATAAAAGTAAACAGTCAAAGTACAGTGGGTGATCAGTTAACAAACAGTTCGGACTGTGAACAAATCAGACAATGAACACTTTTGTGAAAGTTTTTTATGTTTGGACAATGAACACAGGTTTTGATAGTGAACATTTCACAGAACAAACACTAAAAAGAAGCGACTTAAAATAAAGAATACCGACCTGTTTTCCTGTCTCCAAGTGACAGTTTGAAACCTTTTAGAGCTTGGAAGACATAGACATCGATGCTCAACCCAAAACCAATTGGATAGTATTCCTCCAAACTTAGAAACTCTCCCATGTAATTCCAGCTTTTTATTTACCTTTCTGACAACTTTTTATAATATTTTCGAGACTGATGAGCACTCATTAAGTTTTGCATTGGTTTTTATTTTCAAAAGATGACAGTTTAATAGCCAAGGCAAATGTCTGATGTTGCTAGGCAATATGGCTTGAACAGATCTACAGTAGGCACAATCTTAGCTAAGAAAGATATAATCAAGAGGACTCAAGCAGCTAAAGGAGTAATGAAAATCACATCTGAGAAACAAAGATGTGCCATCCATGAAATAATGGAGAGATTGCTTTTAGTTTGTTATTATATGTAAATAAACATAGTAAGAAAGTATATAATTTTTAATTTATTTTTTGGGTCTCTGGAACAAATTAATCAAATTTCCATAAGAATCTATGGTAAATCAATAATCAGTTTACGAACAATTTGGGTAGTGAACATTGTCTTGGAATGGATTATGTTCATTAACTGATCACCCACTGTATTTGATATGTTTGGCAAAACTGGGAATTCCCAATTTGGATCTAGCAATGTTAGCATTAGGAAGGTTAGAGAGTTTATTTAAAATGAAAAGTATTTTATTAGTTCTTTTAATATTTTTCATAAACGTTTTTGGCTTCTATTACAATTTTTCTGTAAGTGAAAACTAGGTTTTTCCATGATGTTTCTGTACTTGAAAACAGAAAATATTCCTGTTCTCCATTCTTGTAACAGTCTTCTATAGTATTTTTCCATAAGTGGAAATTAGGCTTTCATGTTTATATTATATATAACAACTGTATTTTGTATTTATTAAATTAATTTTTAATAAGAAAAAGGTTAAGCTAAAAAAATCTTAAGTTATTTTAATAAAAACAAAATGATAAGCATATTAATGAAAGCATCAAATCAATAACAAAATCATTGATTACCAGCAGAGTTGTTGTCTATGTAGTGAATTAACTTCTGCACAGTCTTTTTCAAATGACCTTCACTGTAGACTCATATTTATTTGTTTATAAAGAAAGAATTGTATTTATGAGCAAGGCTGTGGCTAGAGCATTTGGCACCAGGGACTTAAAAATGGTACCTTTTGGATAAATCTTCAATTAATATTTTTCAGACAGTTTTCTATGAATTTATTAGATCGCCCATGTAATAATTTTGGAATTTTAGCATGATACCATCTTGGCATCCTGAGCATGTGTCCTCTCTGCCCCTGCCTTTCCATGACCCTGTTTACAAGTAATAAAAGATTTTATAATACTGTATAGTATTTTGTTTTTTGTCCACCTTGCTGCTACTTCATTCCATTCAGCTGATAAAGTTTCTTAGGAGAAGACTGGTAATACAAACAATTTACAAATTCTTATCATATAATTTGGCAATGAAATATATTGATGTAAAAATTTTATAAGAAATTGATAAATTATAAAAAAAATAGTCCAAGAGAGGGTTTAGTGGTGAATTAATTAATGTGGTCAACTTTGTTTTTTTTTAGCTTTTTAATGTGAGTAAAGTTTATATTTAATAATTAAATTGTTAGAGGTCTTAACTGCTCATTTATTTGATACTTTTTCACAATGCAAATAGCACATGTTATAAATGATTGCCAGATATACAAGTTTATTCATTAAAATTATATAGATGACAGATAGTTGATATCATAAATAGCAATCAACAAAATGTATATAATCTAACTAACTTTTACTGCAATTATTTTAATCTTCATGTAAGCTATTATACTTTAAAATACAAAAGCACAAAATAACATAGTTTAATCTAACTTTTAGATGATGAAAATGAAACTATATATAGGTATAAAAAAAAGAAACAGCTAAAAATGCTTATTTATCATTAGTTTAAACTGACAAAAAAAATATATATATATATACTTATCCATTAAATCTTTATAGATTAAGATAGAAAATTTATGAATACTTACTTCTCATCAGAAACAAATCTCCATAAATATAACTGTAAGTAATGGGTATCCACTTGTATTTGTTGCAGTCCATAACGACTGAAAGTACGTAATCGGACACATTCCAAAAAAGTCTAGAAAAAATATAATAATAGAAATTATTTTTAAATCAATAGACTCTTTCAAATAAAAAAGCAATATAAAATTAGAAATATGATTTATATTTTACTGGTTTTTTTCAATCAAATGATATTAAAAGTTTTATCAGAAATATGAACAGAAATAAAAATATATAGTTTTTGTTTTCAAAGTCTTAACTTTGAACAAAATGTTGACAAGAAAACTTCTAAATCTCCATAAATCAATTGCTTGCTTAGAAAATTTAATTTTGTTTTTTTTTTTTTTTAAATTTAAATGAAAACTTTATTGGTTACTAGAAGAAACAAGCATTACAACATTAGGTAAGATTAGCAAAATGCTAACATTTTTGACCAAGTTAATGGGACATCTTCAGATATGAATAGAGTGAGATATAAGCAAAATCATTTATGTTTGAAGATGGTCTGTTATTGAGTCAAAAACATTATTATTTCTCTACCCTTACATACTGTTAAAGGTATATAACTTACTTCAGTAAATTTTAACTAGCCATTGTATCAGGTCAGTCCATAAGTTCCTGCGTATTTTGACCTTGAGAAAAATCTTGTTTTGCTGTTAAAAATGCCAGTCTAATGTGATACTTTTTACACTAAAGTGTTAAATTGGATCTCATTCATATAATACTGTTTAGAATTGGGAACATTTCAGTTGTTTATTTTCATTAAAACGGAAGTAACAGATGAATATAAGAAACATGTTTTATAGTTTTTATTTTTAAGTGGTGAGAATGCTACAAATGCAGCTAAAAAATTAAATACTGCTTATAATCAAACTGTAACAAGTGTAAGGGCTGCGCAGAAGTGGTTTGAAAGATTTAGAAATAATGATTTTAGTGTGGAGGATAAGGCTCGTACTGGAAGACCTGTTGACTTTGATGATGATGCTCTCTCTGCACTAGTTGAAGCAGAACCATCTTTAACAGTTGATGAAATTGCGGAACGTTTAAATTCATCCCATGGAACTGTTCATAGACATCTACAACAAATCGGAAAAGTTTCAAAGCTAGGAAAATGGATACCACATGAACTGTCAATAGCTAACTGACAACAACGTCAACTGCTCAACTCAAAAGCTTCAACTGGGAAATTTTACCTCATCCACCATATTTGCCAGATATTGCTCCCAGTGATTATCATCTTTTTCGGAGTTTGCAGAATTTTTTAAAAGGAAAAACTTTTGAGGATGAGAACAATGTAAAAAAGGCTATTTCTGAATATTTTGATTCAAAACCGAAATCATTTTACAAAGACGGGATTAAAAAGCTACCATCAAGATGGCAAGAAATTGTACAAAATAATGGTGAATACATTATAGATTGAAATAAGATTTAATTAAAATTTTTTGTTGCTTTTTTTGTAGATAAAAATGCGCACGAACTTATGGACTGACCTGATAGTTAATTTAATTAATTTAATTAATTAACAGGTATACGAAATAAAATAAAAATTGTTTTCTGTTAATCTTTGTAATATTATCTGTAAAACCAGTATAATAAGTCCTGATAATAGATGAAAGTCGAATTTATAGTCGAAAAATTTACATATTAATGATAGTTAATTTATTTGTTTCTTGTATGCAAGCTTTTATATAACTTAAACTATTGACAAGACTATGTCTTGTTTATAAAATCGTACTGCGTCATGTTCTTATCAGCATAGAGGTATGAAGGAGTACATGTAGAGAGTTGATATTTGGCACAGAGTATTAGGTGCCCAAATCATTTGCGCATAAAAAAATCCAGACTCGTAGGTAGTCAGGGTACCAATATTAGAGTCAAAATAAAATCCAAAATGGCGACCCTCTTCTACAAACAGACAAAACAGCCACCTCACCCCACCAAAGTTACGTAGGGTAGAGTACCACCCGCAGTCATTCTAATAAGTAAACTCTGACCTTAGGACTGAGGGCACCTGCACATGACCTTTGCCCTTTGACCTCACTTTGCTCCTGAACTCTAACAAGGAGAGACATCTTTTTACTACCTTTCGATTTGATAGCCGCACTGATCTTGGATTTATATTATATATCAACACTGTTGTAAATATCACTCTGCTGATACAAATTAAATAAATTATCAGTTTCTTAGTAAATTTTTACCAACAGAACATTCACTGAAAATGGCTCGTGGTCAACCTCGTGGTTGAGGCAGACAAAGTTTTAACGATCACACCCAAAAGCAGTGATATCAAAGAAGATAGATAGGAGAATGAGAACGAGACCTGCCTTGAGCATCAAAATGATTCTGTGACCGAGACATAGTCTTGTCCCAAATACGGTTTTGCCGTTTTACTTGTTTTAAATTTAATTTTAGATTTGACATATGAATTTAAAGATTTATATTGAAAATTCTTATATAACTCCACTATTAAAATATGCTATTTCTTTTCTTTTTTTTTTTTACAATTTAAAAATCCTTTTAAATCAATACTTTACAGATTTTTATCATTTAATGATCACATTAATACTAATATAGATAACTGCAATGAGAGAATTTTATGTTATAGGACAATAATATTTGATTTTGACAAGACTATGTCACATCTCTAAAATTGCACTGCTGTCAATGTCAATGTCAACCTTAGAGATATGAAGGAGTACTCCTTCATATGTCAGGAGTTGCAATTTGGCAGAGTATTTGGTGTCCAAATCATGTGCACATAAAATAAACCAGACTTGTAGGGCTGAGAACTGGGTTAAAATAAAATACAAAATGCTGAGACTGTTTCTACAATCAGGCACGAGTGCAAAATTTGCACAAGTATTGCTCACACTCTCCAAGACATAGTCTCGTCCCAAAAATGGTTTTGCCATTTTACTTGTTGTTAAGCTAGATTGATTGATCACTATATAGAAGTGCCAATAATTCTTTAGACTTCAAATCTGTTAAATATGATTTAGATATTATATGGATATAAATAGTTACTTTCAACTTCCTTATCAAAATCTATAGAATTTAAAATACTTTGGAGCATGAACAAAGCTACCCAGACAGTTTTGCAAATAGTATATAACAATGTGGCAAAACATATTTTGCTGTGTGTCAGTATAAAAAATTTAAACTACAAAAATATTCATTAGTAATTCATTTTTGTTGTTATTATTTTAAATTGAATTATTCTTACATTTAATAATATTTTTCTGTAAATATCATTTTAAACTTTCTTGTAGATAAATAAATTTAATTGTATATTTTCATCATTTTTTAAACAAAAGTTTATAGTTTTTGAAAAGTTTCAAAATTAATTTTTTTTCTTAAATGTTAATATAAATGTTAATTCAATACCTTCAGACTTATTTTGATGATTCCAGTCATAACAGAAACTTTAGAGAATTCTACTGTACTGAAAATCTCAATCTTTTCTGAAAACAGCTTCTGTATATTGNTGTGAAAATGTCATAAATCATTTGGCGTTAAGGATTTCTTGAAGGATCACGTTCATCGTTGATATGATTTCATTACGTACTTAAAAGCAAACACAATTCAATAACTAATAAGCCATTGACTAAACTGACAATGTCAACAATATCGCACTTTGCTTTCGTCACGTAGTACAAAATAAAATACAGTATATATCTATTCTAAAATAATATACCTTGGAGCATATGCACTCCAATTTGATCTCAACTGTTTACTAGCACTACAAGGATATGTACGACGACTGGAATCACTACTGCGTTCATGACGAATACCTTCTTCATACAATTGACCAACTTGACCATCAATTGCAGTGACATCTTCTACTACTCTCTTCATGACAGCTCTGACATTCCGAGGCTCAATCGTATTCAACCAGTCACGAGTCTCTACACTTTTTCTCAACATCTATAGGTTAAAAATGCTTATAATAAAACAATAAATAATTATAATTGAAAATATATTTAAACATTTTAAAAATCCTTCAAACAGAAAAAGTCAATATCTCATTACATATTTTAGACATCTAGTCTTATGCACTAACTTTTCACATAATTTAAGTTTTAATTGTAAGATTAAATTTAATTGAATATTAGATATATCTCAAAAATAAAATACAGTTTGAAATTTTTAATTTTTTAAAGATAATACACAGAGTTTTCAAGCAAAGAGTTTTTAATGCTACAAACATATTCTCATGTTCTTTAAGTAGATTCCAAATGATATCAAAGCATCAAACTTATGCCTACAAATTTTGGGACTCTTCCATCTGATAAATCATTTCTGTGAGTATTATTGCACATTTTTACTAACATATAATTTTCATGTTCACAACATATTCATGATTTTATATACTCTTATTGTATTTTTTACAATTTGAACATGTAAAACATCAATAAAAACAACCTAATAAAAAATGCTTTTAGAAATAAACAAATAATAAATTATTTATTTTTGAAAGTAAACTATGGCATTTAAACCTATTCAAATTCTAGCAAGTACTGTAATGTTATATATGTTACAGTCAAAACCCGTTTTTAGTTAGAACGCGTTTTAACTAGTTGAAACTAGTTTTTACTGAATGTCTTTGTTAAAACCTGTTTTGTCTAGTTGAAACTAGTTTATACTGAATGTCTTTGTTAAAACCCGTTTTGTCTAGTTAAAACTAGTTTTAACTCAAATTCATTTTTGACTAGCAGTAAATTCTAGTTTTAACTAGACAAAACCGGTTTTGTCTAGTTAATTTACTGCTGTACATGTTTTGACTTTAGATAAAACTAGTTTTAACTTTTAACATTAGTTAAAACTAATTTTAGCTACATAAATATGTTTGGGGGAAATAAAGTTATGTATAGTGATTCGGCGGAAGATGCCTAACATTTTGCTTATGAAGAAAATTACAGCGCTAATTTGAGTTTAGGAGCCCTCTAATGAAAATATCATATTCTGGAGTATGTCTTTCAAATAAAAGTTTGGAGTTTATTTTAAAAAATTCTATACTGTGTTTGCAATGACGACTTTTTCACTGTCTGGCATTTTAAGCATCTCACCCCAAGTATCTGGGTGAGATGCCAAATGCCATTAGGGTAAGATAACAAATATAATTGCTTAAAATTAATTTTTGAATTTCTTAACCAAATTTAATTTATTGCATATGTAGTACAAAGTACTTCATAGTAAGTATAACAGCACAGTATAAGTATTGTTAAGTTTCCGCCCGTTCTAACGTGTTCTATAGCTAGCTGAAAGCTTTTTTCAGTCCAAAAACTTTTTTGAGAAGTCCTTATATAATTTCTATGCATATCCTGCAATAAAACGAGAAAACAAAAGTTTATTAAAAATAGGCATATTGGAAATCAATTAACAAAAAATAGGCACGTTACCCCAAGAAAAATGTGGCATATTTTCCATTTGTTGGGGTAAGATGCCTAGTAGAGTCACGTGCTCCAGCATGTCCGATCGGGATCGGCGGTAGCTGACAATGGAAACTTTAGAACCTTAACTACATCACACATTAATTGTTTTTAGCAATTTTTAATAAATTCCATTTTAACTTTTAGTTTAAAATTATTCTAGAAACATTTCACAACAAAAACTTCGTTCTTATCTAGCTTTTATTCTTCTCGGATGTAGAAAATGAAGTAACGGTAGCCAACTACAGCTTTCCGCACTCAATATTGGCCCAACGATTCATCATACAAATACATGACAATATGTGACGTCACCGTTTGAAAATATCAAAAATTAGGCATCTTCCCCCGCTTACCATCTTACCCCGAATCACTCTATGCGTTGCAGTCAAACCAGTTTTTAGTTAGGATGCGTTTTAACTAGTTAAAACTAGTTTATACTGGATGTCTTTGTTAAAACCCGTTTTGTCTAGTTAAAACTAGAATTTACTGCTAGTCAAAAATGAATTTGAGTTAAAACTAGTTTTAACTAGACAAAACAGGTTTTAACAAAGACATTCAGTATAAACTAGTTTCAACTAGTTAAAACGCGTTCTAACTAAAAACGGGTTTTGACTGTAACATATACATGATGAAATTTTAGAAAAAACTGATATAGATGATGATTATGGCAGATCCATAGGGAGTTTCAAAGACTTAAGCCTTCTCCATTGACACAAAACATTAAAATTTATTTGTTTAAACTTCAAAACATTTTTAAAAAACATTTATGATGGCAAATATGGTTTATCAGACCATACACAATACAATCACCCTGTGCATGTTAATAAAAAGTACTTATGATTATTCAAATTTAAAAAATTTTTCAGTTATCTCTCCCTTTGTGTTCTTCTGGATCTGCACTGGATTATGATGAATCCAAAACAGAGAATTTGATCATATTTCAAGTGAACATTATATATCTGAGCCTGAAGATGACCTATTCCAAGAGGCTGAAAACATTAGTGTTTTATTAAATAAACATTTCTCATTGATGGAAGGTGTTTAATGTTTTATTAAATGTTTTAAAAATGCTGAGTTTGATATTTAGTTATTCTGAGCCTAATGCTGAGCAGAATTTGTTTAGTACAAAAATGGATAATATTTTTACATTAAAATATGAAAAATGACTTAAAAAGTTTATCCATGCAAGATGCATCTTGAGAAACATCTTAAATCATAATTCTGGGAGAATAGCTAGAATTTGCATACATTTTTATTCAAAAAATTTTTAAGAAGAGAATGAATTTGTTATTAATGTTGTCAAATGAAGTTCATTTTCATTTAGAAAGTTTTTGTTAATAAATAAAATTGTTAAATTTGGGCTATAGAAAATTCAAAAGTTAAGCAAGCAGAGAAAATGCACTGATAAGATGCATAATAATAAGAAGAAGTAATTAAGAAGTAAGAAGTAAGAAAAAGAAGTAAGAAGATAATAAAAAGTAATTGTATGGTATAACATATCACAATGTATAACAGAATGGCTGGTCTTAACTTTTTAAAAATGATAAAATGATAACTGTTACTGACAATGGTAAAAGATACAATTATATAATCAATACAAATCAAGAACATAAACTGAAAATATTTACTATGCCAACTAGGTAACCTTTATTTTATTCCAATAACTAAATAACAAATTTGACAAATGTTTTTGAGCAGCTTGACCACCCTACTTCAGGTCCATTACAAATGTGTAGAATAAATATTTCAAATAGAACATACTTGTAATGGACTTGAAGCAGGCTATTCAAAAACATTTATCAAATTTGTCATTTAGTTACTGGAAGAAAGAAAAGGTTATTTAGTTGATATAAGAGAGGTTGAGGCAGACGTTTTAAACGTGTAGGACGGATGTTCGGTGCCGCTTTCCTGTAAGCCTAGAAGTTTGACGATGGTGTTTGGAATGTCGAGCGTGATTCCACCGACTATCCAAACACCATTGTCAAACTTTTAGGCTTACGGGAAAGCGGCACTGAACGTCCGACCTACACGTTTACACGTTTAAAACGTCTGCCTCAACCTCTCTATAATCAGTGTGTTTATTAGAACATCAATTAATATTTTGAATGATTACCATGAATTATGATTTCAAGAGGACTATACCATTATTCATATTGAGAAAAACAATGAACATATTATGTAGTTTTTCTAATATGAAACTTCTCACATTATAATAACAATAATTTGTCAGCAAGATTATCTAATTCAAGTGACCAGACTTTATTTCAGAAATATTTAAAGGAAAGAATTTAATATAGATAACATTTCTCTTGAAAATAGGAGTATGTTCATGTTTTGCTGCTCAAGATCAATATTAGTGTGTTGTTTTTTTCATACATAAGTTACTTAAATATCAATGTTTCAGATTTGTATTAAAATTAAAGAATTTCAATAGTTCATTTGTTGATTTTCTAAATTTAATATAATAAACTGTTCTAGAGGATTCATTGCATTTATTAAGAAAAATAATTTTAAATTTTTTATCTTAAATAAATAAATTATTAAAAAGCAAATTTTACTAACCTGAGATATACTAAGTCCTTGAACTCTTACAAAATGATCAAGTAATTTCTAGAAAACATAAAATATAAATGTGTATCTTCATTTGTTTAAAAAATTATCAAAATTTAGAGATAATATTTATTAAAAAAAACTAAATACCTGTGCAGTTTCTGCTATTTCTTCACATAGGGTAGTTACTGATGTTAAGCCAGTTTGATCTTCTACAGTAAACTGTTCATCAGTAAGTGATAACTAGAAAAAATTAACGTTAAAATACTTTATCATTATTATCCATTCTTTCAAAATACTAAATAAATTTATATTTAATACATCTTATACTGCTTACAATATACTTCCTATATACATAAACATCTCAAAGCCTGATATTTTATAATAAACCAAAATTAATCAGGCTACTTTACCGCTACTATTAATAATTAAATACTTAGTAATTTGATATTAGAGGTAGGTGTTAGGCATCATATCTTATTAAATTTAAAAAATATAAATAAATTAATATTCATTAAATAATTTAAAATATTATGGTTGACATTGTAAATAACCGAGGATGGTTATATCCAAATTAAATATATCTGGAAGTGGGGAATCGGATGGAGGACTGGGTAGTAACTGGAAATGTATCTGCATGGTAAGCAGCAGTTGTGGTTTCAAGTCCTGTTCCAGGCCATTTCTTTTCTTTCAGAATATTCTAAATTATTTAATAAATATTAATTTAATTATAATTATTAAATTTAATAAGAGATGGCACCTAATATCTATTTCTAGTGCCAAATTATTCGGTATTTAATTATTAATAGCAGTGGTCAAGTAGCCCGATTAATCCAGCAATTATCTGGCTTATATGTCTCAAAATTAAAACTTCTTAAACTTTATTAATATTTGAATAATGCATGGATTTATTCATACATTAATTGCATAGTAAGTACAATATTCATGTCAAATTTTGCTATAGAGATAGTTTTATGTAGATAAAAATAAACAAAAAGCATTGTCTTAATGTATTTATTCTTACAAACTTTGATTTCAGAGCTCTATACTGTTAACAAGTCTTTAAAAATATTATATAAAGTTATTTACTCACACACTCTTTAAATGATTAATTGATTACAGAAAATTTTGAAAGACAAAAAACTGATTTTATAAATATGCAACATCAATATGTAAATAAAAAATATATAAATGAGATCTGCCTAACTAGCCTTAGGAAAAAATCATCATTATTAGAAATTAGATATTCTTAAGTCAATATTGAGTTCGTTTTGGATAATCTGTGTAATTTTAAAATTTAAAAAGAGTAATACTTTAAACTTAATCTTGCACATAAGGATTGGACAGCTCTTTCCCTCTTTAATTTCCTGATCTCAGAAATACAGAGCATTCTTTTCATCTTAACACAAGTTCTGAAAACATTTACTTCAGATGTACTAAAAAATAATTTAATTGATTATATCTTGGTTTCAAACAAAAAAAATACAAATTCAATTATTAAGTGCCAAATTTGTATTTTCTGTCTCAATTTCCTCCAACAATTACTTTGATATGATCTTACACACAATTTACAGGTATTAATTAACCCTATTTTAGAAGGAATTTCTTTCTTTCAAAATATTTTAGCTTTACACTTATTTTAATTGATAATAGTTAAAATGCCAGTTTCAGTCATTAATATTCTTTTTCATATTGCTAGATTAAAACATAAAAATATGGATTTAATAATTAACTTTAATGTATTGAAAACATATTTAACTGTCAATTAGTTTGTCCTAATAATGAAGAATAATAACTCTATATAATTCTGTGAAAATTTCAGAAAAATATTTCTTGTAAAAGACTTATGATATATTATACTATTTAGATACAGCAAAAAAAATTATAAATTTCAAATCATAATAAAGGAAACTAGCAAGTTAAAATCCAACTAGAAATAATGCTAAGATAAAACTTCTTTTTTTTTAGTAAAAAATAGAAAACTTATAGTTAAAAAAATATCATATGGTCTTTGCAATAGTTATAATACTATCAATTTAACTTCTGTGGTAGTGCGAAAGGAATTATTTTTACATAAATACTAATTTCTTGAATAGCAATTGTAATCAACTAAACTACTGATGAATATCTTAAAAATACAGAGAAATTCTTTAAAGATCATAAATTTTAAAACTGAAGCAATTCTACAAACTTTTAAATTCATTTTCTCTATCTTGTATGATAATTTCTTTATTAATATTTCATCTATAATTGCTAGAATAGAATATAAACTATAATAGCTGCTATCAAATTTTAATTCTTTTAAAAAATGGATTGTCATTAATAAAAATAAACTTTTAAAAATCAGTTTTAAAGATACAAAAAAATCCAAGAAAATAGAAAAAAATTAGACATACTTATATGCTTCTCAATTATTTTTAAATTAAAATTACTATGATTAAAAAATTAAATTAATTACATGAAATTATTAATTCCATAGATATTCCATTGTATAATCTGAAAATTTATATTATTAATTTTGATTAAAATTTATATTTGTTACCGAAAAGCATGTTCAGTATGTTTTTATGATTAATTACTTTATACTTACTAAATAACTAATAGAGGAAGTTTTCAAATCCAGACATAAACGTGATAACAATAATAACAAAGCAGGAGGAGGAACCATATTTTTATCTCCAATAGATGAACAGAATTCCTAAAAAGTTTATAATCTATTTAGAATCCTAAAGTTTAGAATCTTTTAATTATATTTTAAAAATCTTGTATTAATTGAAGTTGAATAATACTTAAAAAATATAATCAACATTAAAAAACTTATAAATGTTTTATTTTATAAAATTTGTTAAAAATATATTATTCTGGAGATAATGTCTTAGACTTACCAAAGCAACATTATTTATATGACGTAAGAAAGCCACAACAACTCCTTCTCGAACATATTCTCGACAAAATGGTTCTCGAAAGTGCATTTTCATTGCAAATGTAATATCAGATTGAATAAAAGCCTATATAAATTAATATATTATTAAAATAATATGATTAAACTTGATTTATTATTATTAAACTTTTTAACATAACTCACTTGCAAATTGGATAAAACTGCTTTAACTTGATCAGCTACTGATGTTTCCATTGTGTTTAACAGATCAGAAAGACTTAAACTACCTTCCTGACCAACAGTACGTGGAGCTGCTAGATTATGGCGAATATCTGTTAGACAATCAGTGAGATGCTGTTTTAAAGTTTGTAAATAATGTTCACAACGATCTTTTCCAGCTTTAGAAACAATATCAGTTCCTTTTCTGTAATAATGTGATAATATATAAATTGTTATTATATATAAAAATAAAAAATAATATAAAGAACTAAAATAGTAATTAGAATGAAAATATCAGGTAATTTTTAAAAAATTCTAAGTTAATTAAGTTTTCAATTAACGCATAATGATTTACAATGACAGCTATTTCATGCTGTCATTATAAACCTGGCATATTTATTATTATAAGTTCTATTATAATATTTTATTGTATGTTTGTTTGTTTAGTATGCATACCTATAACTCAGAATTAAAAATAAATTTTAATAAAAAATAACAAATGATAAAAAGTGTATCAACATAAGTTAAAATATGCTATTAACTGAAATTATAAATTTATTTTTAATACAAAGTTGCATATCCTTTCAAACAAGTGTAAAAAAATTCTGACCTACATCTAAGTACCTATTCATATTTAGTAAACTCTAAAAAAAAGCTCTATAGCAGAAGAATAGGTAAAAATGATGAATAGCACTCAGTCCACCTGCTTACCCTTCATTATCCAACTTATTACCACTTGATGTCACACAATTTTGACTTTCTTCATATATATATACTTTTAAAAGTGTCACTTCCAAAATAATTTTGAATAATAAACCAAATGATTAATGCATTTATTCAAAAGAGCATTTGAAAACATAATTCAGTTCTAGAAAGAGCTTCAAATGGAAAAAAAGGGAAGATAACCCAAATAACATTGGATAATTTTTTTTCACTTTTAATGAAAGAATTTAAAAGTTTAATTGAAAAAAGTAATAAAGATTTAAGCTTAATAACTTTTTTTAATTTCATCCTCTAGTAACTTTTTATGGATTTTATGACCTATTATTTGTCTTTCAGGACTTTACCTGTCTTTTGTAAAAATAAATAAATAAATAAATAAAATTTTTAAGATGAAAAAATCTCTTTTTATGACAAATGATTGTTATAATGTTCATCTTTGAATGAGACTTTATTACTACAGAATATTTAAAATTTATTATATATAAATGCACATTTAAATTAAACACACTATCATATATCTTAATATAAAATTATGTTATATGTAATTTTTCTTCCTTACTTAGCAATTTCTATTAATAACGATATCCTTACAATAAGGTTCCAAACTAAAAACTTCATGTATACAGACATTCTATAAAATTCAAATAAATATAATAATAAAAAGTTACCATAAATTAAATATTTTAAATTTTATTTTGAAATATGTACTATATTTCCTGGATTCTAAAATGTACATTTTTACTCAGTTTTATCTGACTTAGAATGAATGGTGTCTTACATTCATTGCACAAAACATTAATCAAAACTCATCATGAATAGACCACGTAATGCATTATGTATGAATAACAGGCATTTTCAGAAAAAAAAAATGCCTGTTATGATTACATCAATTCAATTTGAGTTTTGCTGATAGCAAACATTTGATTTAAACTCTTTTTTTAATGTTTAAAATGCTTTCAAGGTAAATTTTTAATGAAGTATTATAAGAAAGTTATTGTATATGCAGAAGAATATAGAAATGAAGTTGTCAAATATTACTACCTCAAAGCATTTCTGCCGTTTTTTTCACTGTTACTTAAAAGAATGTAATAAAAGTATTTTAAAATTTTTTCCTCCATGAATCTTAAAATTTGATTTGAAGACATGGTAATATGTTATTCAGATAATATTTGACTTAAATAAATGCAATATATATATACATACTTTGAAAAATCAATATCTAAAAGCAATCTATTCATTGCTTGAAGACGACGATGGAAGCGATCTAATGCTCGAACTAATATAGTGTTATCACCAGTTTCTTTCTAAATAAAAAATAAAGATATTATAAAATATTTAAAATTTTGAACAATATTTTGTAATGCATTTAGAAATTCTATTATTAANATCAATATTAGTGTGTTGTTTTTTTCATACATAATCGATTATCCGAAAAATAAGTTATCCGAACAACCCCAGTCCCCAATTGATTTGAAAAAACGACACTCTAATGTATATAAAAATACACAGCAGAATTTTGTTTTATATGGGAGTATTAAATATGGATTCATGTCTTTTCAAATAGAAAATAGTTTAACTCACTCCTAGTACCACAGAATCTGAATGTTAGCAGCTGGAAAAGCATAGCAAACCATGCTTCTCCAGCTGCTAATATTCTGAACATGGTAAACTCTTGAATGCTACTCACTGTGATGAATATCCTGGTTTGCATGTATTATTCTCATGTAGTTCACTTGATAAGGTGTAATAAAATTTGTAAAGTACTATATTATTTTTCCGACTTTCCAACGATTATCGACACTACTGTGTGCCGGAAATAGCCGTTCCCTAACGGGTACTTTACGCGGATTCGCGTTAGTGTGCCAGGCCTGGACTTTAAGCGTGCACCGAATTAAATAATGACAAAGTTTGTCAATAACAAAATCAAATATTTAATTAAACTTCTA